TTTTAAAAATAATTGTGAAATGTTTGGGATCCCATAAAAATCTTTCAAATTTATAGTTTGAGCTCAAACTTAATAATTTATAAAGGTATTGGAAGCATGAAAAAGTTTTGGGAAGCAAAACACTTCAAAATAGGGCCAAAAATGTCATTTTTGAGTAGTTTGGTCCATGTGCCACGGCTTTTGGCACAGAAAGGCAAGTTTTCTCATTGTACTGTGCACTGCGACTTGCGCGAAATGCGTTGCAGCGCACGTGTCCATGACAGCAATGTTGTCATGACAGCTTTTCTGGATGAATTTTTGTATTCGATATCCGATTGGAGTGATTCAAGCGCCCACGCAAAGCTTATTTAATAAGCTAACTAATGGTATAAGTTTTGTTACGATCTGACATCGTATGAGAATTTTAGACACTCAAATGCAAAAGTCAGTTTTTAAAGTGATTTTCAACCATCCAAGTACCTAAAACTCATAACTTATACCATTAACTCTTTGTGAGGTTTGAAACAAGTCCAATGGACCAAAATATACTTGATTGAGTATTCAAACACATCAAAACATACCAAACACAAAATTTGGCCACTCAATGGTCCTTTCACCCAATATGGCCAAAATACAAAATCAACGCTACATGCACTATTTGACCTCTATTGCCACATAATATACTACATATACATTGTCACCATATAGATAAAACATTCCTTATACTTGTAATAGTATTTTAGCCCATCACTATAAAAATTACCACATATTCACATCATGTACAATATTGGGCTAAAATACAAAATAACATAGTATAAGTGCAACCAATCAAAATGATATGCATTCCTAGTTGGCAACATATAATATCATATAATAATTTTATGTATACCACTCAAACTGAAATCAAGCATTACTATTTGTAATGTAGCAAATCTACTAGTCCTTGCCCGACTCCTTTCCTTGCTCAGTCTCAGTGGTAGAACCTATAAAAATGATAACCACAAGGTGAGATAAAAATCTCAGTAACTAAGATAATCTACATTATTGATTAACATACCAAGTTATAAACAAGCCTTAAATCAAGTAAAATAACCACACCATATAAAATCACCACAAGTTAATGCATGATCCCTAACCATCCTATCCTCCAATACTCCCGACCGAACTAGTAGGCTATTTTATAGAACCAAACCACACGTAAGGTCCCCAAGCTCACCATCCATGGTAGGACTACTCAGCCAAGATGTCCTAAACCACTTCTAGACTATTGGTTCCCCCTATTATAAGTAATTAGGGTGTCGTTACTCCAACACCGCATCCTACAGATGCTAAAGAGCATATTCTTCAACTCCGCACTTTTTAGGTACTAAGGAGAGTAAGTCTTCAACACCGTATTCATTTTCGAGCACTAAGGAGAGTAAGTGCTGCACCTGCATCCCGAGGTGCCAGCAGTGCCATATAGATTTAATGTTCACTAACTCCACTAGGATGACTTCTCACCCTCTAATATGCCACATTTTACTACATATCTCTTCTTGACCATGCATAAATCACTTTTTAAACAAATATAACAAATCTTACCATTTACTTCAAAAATATGAAATTTCACAAACCAATACTCCACTAATTTTCTAAAATAGTTAACCTTTACAAAATTTATACGTATATATACAACAAATCATAGAAAAGTAACTTGAGAATAATTTATATAAGGTAATAAATAATTCAATTTATCTAGTTACCTCAACCCTTTTGTTACTAAAAGGGTTACCTGTGGTACTAAATCTCTTTTTGTGTCAAGGTAAGTCTTTCCACACCACAATCTACATCAACAAGTACTATATATTAATTTTTAATTAACACAAGCACTATTAGCTAACAATAACCTCCCAATTCTCCCACTTGTCATTCATATTCTCAACAAAGAGGCTTGTTAAGATTAAAGTTTGTTCACACAATCCCTTCAAGCCTCCCTCTAACTCTCTCACAATCTAACACTTAATATCTCAACTTATCACACTTCAAAACCCCATGATCAAGTTAGGGCTTGATCTAACTTTCACCAAATGATAGAGTAGCTTTATATTACTACATATCCAAGATTAATAAACCTAAATCAAACCTTTAGAGTCAATAGAAACCTTCAAAACATAGACTCATGGCTTAATTCTATCAAAGAAAATTATCACTCTTTTAAATCTCATGAAAAATGAGATGAAAAGGTAGAGGAAAAAGATAGAAAACTTACTCAAGAGTTTGAAGTCTCAAATTATCTTCAAAATCCTCCCAAATTAATGCCTTAACAGTGTCCAAAACATGCCCCTTTATGTTCTAAGTTTTCCATTACAAAAACTATCATTTTCTGATCATTTTTGAAATTTTAAGTTGCCTGTTGTGCCGTGCACCACAGCGCATGCCACACAAGCCACGGTTCATGACACAGAAAGCAACAAGTTGATTTTGCTCCCCCCGATGCCTCCCAACTTGATCCGACTTTCATCTTAATTCAATTTAGAGCCAAATATGACTCAAAAATTCAATTAGCAACCTAAAACATAATTAAATAAATTAATTATATTTTTAACTAATTTATCCTTTAATTAGTCAATTTTTTTCTAGATTTGAAGTTTTCGAATGTTACAAGTAACACTTTTAAAATTTGCTGACATTGATGGTAGCCATATGTAGACTAATGAAAAGAAGTGTAATTTTGATAAGGAAAAAATAGACTAAAAAATTGTTAAAAACACAATAATATTTAAATTAATCATAACATAATGGACTAGATTAATAAAAATTAAACTAATTTAAATGTTAATTTATTCTTATTTGGTTATATATATATATATACGAAGTCATCGAAATACTTTACATTTATTTGAGAGTAATTTTTTTTAGAAAACTTAAATGACAACATGGTAATTATTTAAGAAAATATAAGGGATCAAATTAATAAAAATTAAACTTTAAAGTCAAATTGATAACGGAAGCAAAGTTGCCAAGTAAAAGTTTCCTAATCCCTTGAATCTATATTAAAATATGCGGGGCAAAATATTCAAGGAACAAAAACGAAATTATACAAAACCTAATTAATTGTGTGGGATGAGAACGAAAGATCATTAAAAAAAAATTGCTCGAAATTCTTCAAAGTAGTAACCGTACTCATGAGTTAAAAATAGTAAAATTACCTATATATATATATATATATCGTATTTTGTTTACATTGATTGATTATTGGAATTACTGATCAGCCCTTGATAGGAATCAGATCATTATGTCGAATTAATGAGCAAATGTTGGAAATATTCCGGTTTAATGAGGTTTGACGAGCAGAATAGGGAATTGATTGAAAATTAATTTCTAATTGAATCTAAATCAAGAAGTTACCACTTATTCCCTGATTATGAGGTGAATTTATGACAATTGGAATTCTCATTTCATGGCGGCCTTCCAAATTATAAATAGTGGTCGGTGGTTGAAAGACAAACTTACACAAAACCAATACTTCTTTGCTTGGTATTCATTATTCTCCCCCTCTCTTTCTCTCTACATTGATGCATATAGAAAGGACTCTAGTACTATCTTTGTATGGGTTATCCGGTAAAGTTCACAACGCCTAAATCTGGTAAGATTCCAATACAAGTTTATTTATTTTTCTGGATATTTTATTTAATGATCATATTATCCTTCATATTATACTTACATTTTAAACGGCATTAGCAGCAACGTCCTTTTAACATGGGGATACTTTAGTAATGGTTTTTCTGGAAGCAAATAACTATGTGCTTTCATCAAAATTACGATTTTGATAGTTTCTTGAATGAAGCAAATACGCGCTTTCATTATAACTACGATTACGATTTTGACAGTTTCTCACTTGAAACTAAACATGTACTTAGATTTTAAATGTTATGAACAAATTTTCTACATTCTCACCACTAAATGTAATCCCTGAACTTATCCACGTATATATAACTTGTACATTGGATTTCCGTTGAAGAAAATTCAATGTCAGATGCAGAATAAAGGGTGACAAGAAAGACACTGTCTATAAAGCTTTATTTGAAACTGTCCGCCGAGAATCCGCGAGTCGCTAAGGTTGCTGATAAAAAAAGAGAAAAAGACAGTATATAATGGGGATAAAGAAATTAAAGCAAATAGTGAGAGAGAGAGAGAGAGAGAGTTAAAGGACTAAAGACAGTAAGAAAAAGAATCCTCTCTAATTTATATTGGCGATATTCCAACAAAGACACAAAAAGTTCTATACAACGATGCGCTGTACTGTAAGCACATGAACCTCTAATGTCAGACTCTCTGATTCCCCTTTTCTTTTCTTTTTCTTTAATTTTTTCCTCGGACAAAAACAATGTTTAGGCAGTAGTAAAATCTTATCAAAATTAAGGCATGTTTAACCTCGAGTATTTTGTTCAACTAATTAGAAAGTTATGACAATTTAGTTAGAGGTTTCGAATTCAAATCTTATTAATACAACAGATTCAAATGCTCGATGGTAGAGCTTGATCCTGAAAGGATCATGCCGGCTTGATCCAAAATGGTTTAAGCCCTCATTAAGTCCAGGTAGGGTAGGTTCAGGATATCAGATGCTCATAGTGAATTCCTTTTTAATTTTTAATATTCGTTCTACTCTCCCTTCCTTTCTCTCAATGGTGCATCTATTATAGAAAGGGCTTTAGTAGCCCTATCTTAATTAGTGTTAGTTATCAACTAGAGTTAGCAAACACTCTTATCTCCTAATACTCCAACTTGAGTTGATTTATTTTTGGATATTTTATTTAGTTATATTATCCTTCTGTTCGTTTTTCATCATCATCATCATCATCATTATTTGCCTTGGTTCTTTGTAATAGGAATTTTCATTCCTTTAGCTATCTGCTTTATCATATCCCTTTTTCGGGTCTCTTAAACTGCTTTATTCCTCAAAAAAGAGGACTACGATACTCTCTCGAATCCACCTTGTGTTCACAACCAACATCGTCCCCACCACATCTGAAGAAGCAAGAAGCCAAGCACCATCTTTTTTCTTGTTTGTTCCCAACATAACATATCCCGCCGCCTAGCTATTCTGGCATTATCATCATCTTTATATATAGCTTCTGATTTGTTGTGTGTTTGTATATACGTCAGAAAATATGGCAGCAGTACCTTCTGAGCTTAGCCTGGATTGCAAACTCCACCATAGCTTTTCCATGCTTCTGATGAAATCCTTTCCAGATCATCACACTGATCAGACTCATCACAACCGCAAGCTCGAAGAATTCGTTTCTCGCCTCCAAGAAGAACGTCTCAAGATTGATGCCTTCAAGCGCGAACTTCCTCTCTGCATGCAACTTCTCACCAACGGTACACCTTCAAATCCTTAAATTAACACACACACACACACACACACACACACACACATATGTAGTTTACGTGGGATTGATCTTCTATCATGGGACAGCTATGGAGGAGTCAAGGCAGAAACTTGAGGCTTTGAGAGGAAATGAAGACAAGAAAAGTGCAGTTCTGGAAGATTTCATACCGTTAAGGAATTCAAATTCTGAAAGCTCTGAGAAAGCATCGAGCACATGTGATAAGGCAAATTGGATGATATCTGCTCAGCTATGGAGCCAAGCTAATGAAGAAACCAAGCCACAATATTCCACAATTGCATCGCCCAATCATAAAGGTCAATCTGTTCATGATCAGATTGCTGGGTTAACGTTCAATGTTAGCCCTAATAAGCTACACAAAAATATTAGTGGAGGAGCCTTCCTTCCATTCTCAAATGAACGAATTAGCTCGAACCAGTGTCCTTCGTCGACGCCATTGCAGGCTCTTCCGGAGCTGGCACTTACTACTTCTCCTGATGGGAAACAAATAATGGAGGATGAGAAATTATACTCACAGACTGAGAATTCTAGTAAAGGAGGAAGAAGCAGTAATAATGGTGGTGTGGTGAGTGATCAACGAAAAAGGATTATTACAGTTTTGTGTGAGGTAAAAACAACCAGTAAAACTGCTTCAACGACGTCCACCACGCAGAGTCATCGGAAAGCAAGAAGGTGTTGGTCGCCGGACTTACACCGGCGATTTGTGAATGCTCTTCAGATGCTTGGCGGATCTCAAGGTAATTTAATTTATTATTATTACTTTCCGATTTTACAATAATTATTATGATATGATAATTGAAACTTTATTATTGTTTATCAACAGTGGCCACCCCAAAACAAATTAGGGAGCTGATGAAGGTTGACGGATTGACCAATGATGAAGTTAAAAGTCATCTCCAGGTACTCTCTTCTCTGTCCCCCCACATGCGTGTGTGGGGTTTGAAAAAGGGCGTGCACCATTTTTGCTGTCCGAAATTGATGCTGGTAATTAAACTATGAATATATCAGGTCATTCCTTTTACAGTTATTAAGTACCCGTTTATTCGATTAAATAATTTTTAGATAGCTTAGAAATTTTATAAAAAATAATTTATTTTATAGATTATTTAAAATAAATTAGAAAATAGTTTGCATTTAGTTACATTCATAAAGAATCGCTTTACTAAAGAAATTATTTTAAATTGCTTGGATAAAAAAATGTAAAAATGCTTTTTTTTCTAGTTAAATAAAAATAATGGACATGAAAAATTACTTTTTTAAAAAAAATTTTTATTTTTTTAATTTGCATATTATTTTTTTAACTTTTTTAAAATTTGAATTCATAGTTTAACGTGCATTAGAGAAGTTATGTTATCAAAGGAAGCATATTTAATAGGAATAGATTTTGAAACTTATTAAATTTAAATTTTAGTTAGAGTTAATGAGTTTAAGATTTTCTTTAATTCTGGTAAAACATGTTGAAAAGTAATTTATGAAAAAGATTTGAGAAGTTTATATATAATGTTTCTCATTATATCATACTACATACATTAAGCGGATGTTGTTATTTAAAGATTTTATTTAATTATTATTGTAAAGAAACATTAACATGTTATTTTTACAAGCATTTTAGTGATCGGTAATGATAATAATAAATATATGGCAAAGAATATGGAGATGATACAAATTCTGATTCATATGTAAATGTTGATCATGTGACTTTATACATATTGAAGGAGGGGGGGGGGGGAGATACATTTAAATTTGACACGGTTCTTTTAACAGATTGAATATTTTTAGCCAAGTGAAATAGACGTCAGATTTATTTTACAAAACTTTTTAATTTAGTTTCCGATTCTTTCTAATGTTGTGGCCGGCTTTTGGGTTCACAGAAATATCGGCTTCACACAAGACGACCTGGTCAACAGTCACAAGCAGGTGGGGCAGTAACACCTCAACTCGTAGTCTTAGGAGGAATTTGGGTCCCACCCCCAACAGGCACCACTAACGCGCTCTTTAGCTCTCACCCAGTCCCTCACGAGCCGCCACAACCTTACTTCCCTTCCGCCGCTCCGCCGCATGACTCGTACACCATCACAACACTGCAATCACACAATCACACCTTCCACCACCACTACCATCACCACAATCTCAACGGTACAAAACGACGTCGCAGAGCCTGAGATCGCCTAAATCGGAGAGCATTGAAGATGGAAAGTCAGAATCAGAGAGTGGTGAGAACCAAGGGGAAGACAATAGGGGCGGTGGTTCCATCAGCCTCAAACTGTAGGGTTTTATGTGATAATAATATAATTACAGTGTAATATGTAATCGGATTAGAATTAGGGTAATTTCTTTTCTCCTCTAAAAGATTAAATATATAAGGAAGACAATTTCCTTATGAGTGTGCTTTTAGAGAGGATGACGAAACAGCATAAAAGTGAGCCTTTGGCTTTTTATTTATTTTTACATGTGTTCGTTTGCATAGCTAAAAATTATCTAAGCTCTGAATTGAGTTCCAGGCATTCTCGTCTTATGATTTTTTATGTTTAATTTGAAATTGAATTAATTTCAAGAGAATAAATTTCCTAACAATTTTATTAGGGAGAATGACAATTAAGGACCTACTAAGAACATTAATCCCAATTACGGACCGTGAAATTTTGAAATCCGAGTTAAGTACCATGGTCTTTAATTGTGATAAAAAAAATGAAATTTGTGAGGTGGGATTCATTATTGCCACTTGAATTCACTAACCCAACTTGAGAAAATTTGTAACGTATATTGTGAAAACATGAAACCCCACTTGGAAATGGAATGTTTAAAAAAGCACCACTTGGAAATTCACTAACTAGACTTAGAAAAATTTCTAACATATATTGTGAAAACATGAAACTTCACTTGGGAATCGATTGTTTAATAAAAAATACCAATTTGGATAAGTCACTTTTTATTAATGATTCTCAAGTGGGGTTTCATTTTTTCACAATATACGTTAGAAATTTTTTCAAGTCTAGTTAGTGAATTTTCAAGTGACGCTTTTTGTTAAACATTTCATTTTCAAGTGAGGTTTCATGTTTTCACAATATACGTTAGTAATTTTCTCAAGTTGGGTTAGTAAATTCTCAAGTTGCGTTAGTGAATCCCACCTCACAAATTTTATTTTTTTATCACAATTAATGACCATGGTCCTTAACTCGAATTTCAAAATTTCACGGTCCGTAATTGGATTAATGTTCTTAGCAGGTCTTTAATTGTCATTCTCCCATTTTATTATATGATTTTTGTTGGTTTTCGAGTTTGAAAACATACCTCAGATGATGATGATATTTTTCTTCTATCTTCTAACATGTGGGAATTCCAAGTTATAGTCACGAACTTCAAATAGGGTTTCACAATAGACACACCGAATTTTAGAGAGAGAGAGAGAGAGATGAGGGACGCAGAGGGAGAGTTTTCATTCGTATATTAAGAATGATGAAAACTACCCCCATATATCATGCTCAGGATTTTACGAAGTTACTTAACTGCTCCCTTTTTAATATAATTAACCACCACCATTATTATTTAACCCAAGTTGGGCCTCTACTCACTTGGCCTAATCCATTAAAGGTGCAGCCCAACATCTCCCACTCACATAGAATAAATTCTCTCATGTTCATATCAGATGCTTTATTGTAATTCAACATCTTCATTTTGAGTGTTCTTGTACTTACGTACCGCCTGTTGATTTTTTTTGTACCAATATTGTTTCTTAAATGTCTTAAATTTACCTAGATACCCTTTTTTCTCAGCTAATCTAATCTCTCGAGTTAATATGAGACTCATTGCCTTTCTTGTATGTGCACAATGTCCACACTCTTGAAATCCAAAAAATAACATTATAAGGGATATGTCTGAGACACTAGCATGGGTGTGTATATATTAGGTAATCTTTCCTTCACCAAAATATAAAACTACTTTCTTAACATATCACCTTTAGACCATATTCATCATGATCATAGCATATATATGTGTTGGATAAACCAACCTTAGTGGATTAGGCCCAATACAAGCCTATGGGTTTTATTAGAATATAGAGAAGAATTGGGTCTAAAAGTGTAATATGCATGGGGTCAAGTGTGCAATTTTCCCTTGATTGTTTAAATTTGAGTGGGAATAGTTACGAATGCACACATGCACGATGCAAAAAAAACTCCCAACAGTATGGGCATTTTAAAGGAATAGCCTATCTAAGCATTTGACAAGATCATCTAAAAACTCTCTCTAATTTTCATTTCTCTCTTCTTCCCGGAGTGCATTTATTGTGAATCTTGAACTGAGTTCCATGTACGGAATTTCATCCAATACATCATCTCAAGTATGTTTCCTACTCTAGAAACTATTATTGGTATCAGAGCATTGTGAGTTCCTGGGCTTCGTTTTCACAGTATGATGAAAAGACTCTGATTTGCTTACTTTATATATCCATTCAAATTTATATACTATATTTTTTAGTGGAAAATTTTGTTTCTGGTCTCTTTTGTTCTTCATCATTGTTCTAATTAAGTGAACATGTTAAGATGCTTGTTTTTTTTTTGATATAAATGGGTTTTATACATTCCCTATTTGTTCTGTATGAGATGCAAAGTGCTGAAACTTCCAACTGTAAACAAACTTAAAAATGGGCTTTTTTGGGCAAATGGATGGCATAAAAATGTAGAGCACAAAAAAATGAAAAAAATGACACCAAGAAAGCATGAAATAGAGATTGGATAGAGGAGAAATGGCTCCCGAAAATTTTTAGGTTGGTGGACCTGACCTGTTGCTCCATATAATATATATATATATATATATATGCCTAGACCCATTTATAAGAAAATAATAATTATGGTTCTTGGCTGGAGAGCCTCGATCCATTAAGACAAGGATAGTTTTTTTTTGGGTAATGTTGATCTCAAAAATGTGCTAGAAGGGGCCAATGAGGTGTGCACAATGTTATGACCAAAATATGAATTAAAAGGTGCTAAGAATCTTCAAGACAAAGATAAAGCTGTGGAACAGCCCTTCACACGCTTAATGATCACAAACATAGCTAAGATAGACAATAAAATAATTAAAAAGACAGATCACATTTCCCCAACTGAAAGAAAATATTCAAGCTTCATAACCAAAGAAGAAGCCGTTATGGGGAAAATTCTCAAACAACTTAAGAAAGAACTCATACAATGTAACAAGCAAAACAAGTCATACTCGAGAAATCCTCTATGAAACAGAGCTATCAAGGGGATGAGATTGCAAAGAAAATATAAAGACATAATAAAGTATTGTCTTTTTAGGTCAGTACCTTGAAAAATATAATGTATCTTTAAATATTCTATTTTTCTAGACTTTATGTTTTATCATGTTATGTTATTTAAAGACTTATATTTTATTAAATATGAAGCATGTTACTTTTCATAATGATTGATTTTCATTGTCTTATATATGCTTCGTTTGAGTGGGAGCTTTTAAGTGATGAGTTGTTTAAGAGCACATATATTGATTATAAAAATATTTGCAAAATTCCTTATAGATGACAGTGATATTATTAGAATCAGGTGATACAAATGTAGCCTCCTAATTGTAGACCTAATAGTGTTGTTATCACTCTAGTAAAGAATAATATAAATATAAGACATTGTATATTTCTCATAAGTACTTTATTCTTAGTTTGATATAGAAAATTATTATTGTGGGATAGTTTCTTATCAAAATTAAAAATGGCAACAAAGAACATTATTGCTAAATTGAATAAAGGCAACAAGTCAAACAGGGAAATTGAGACATATGGCATCGTAAGGTGTCAAATATTTTAGAAGAGCATGATGCTATTGAGCTACTGATTATGGTTATAGATAAGCTTTAAGTAGGAAACTCGACTTAACATAGGAGAGATCAAGAGGCATACATGGTGTGGAAATAAAAGAACACTATTGCATGAATAACACCTTCAAGTGCTATGGCTAACGATCTAATGTTTGAATTTGAGAAGCATTCCACAACTCAGGCCATGTGGGCTGCCTTGCCTTAAAAGAGAAGTTTAGGGGTACCTTAACTACCAAACTGAGAAGGATGACAATTGAGTTTTACACTTATAAGTTGAAGCCTAATACTCCTATATGACAGCACCTTAAGGAGATGGTGTAACCCTCCCCCGTATTTACTCGATATATGAGAATATTAATAGAATCACTACTTAAACACACCAATCAGTAATTAAAGAATCAATTAGAAAATATTTGGCTAAAAACTTATTTACAAAAATTATCAAAACCATAATGCATTTATGTGATTGCATAGTGGACACAACCCCTAAGCATTCTTATCTCAATTGCATGCATAAAAACCATAAAATTAAGTCGAATTATAGGCCATGCAACGTGACGTGCAATATGTGAGCCATAACATATGGCACAGAGCCACATGCCTAACTTTCTGTACCATGCACTATGGCATATGACACCATGCATCGTGGTGTACTAAACCAAAATTTCTGTTATCATTTTGATAGCAAAATGACAAACTTTTGATGTACGCCATTTTCATATACAACGTCCAATCAGAGTGATTCAAGCACTCACACGCAGCTTATCTTATAAGCTAGCTAATGAGATAGATTTAGATATAATCCAACAGTCCAATTAAAATTTGAACACTTGGGGTGTAAAAAGTCACTTTTTCTAAAAATTTTACACACCCAAGCGCTTAAATCAATCCTTTTATTTTATTAAAGCACGTAAGGCCTTGAATTAAGTCTAAAAAAGCCTAATATACCTGATTGACCACAGCCTAACACATATATACACATATTGAAATTTGACCCCTAAACGGCCAATTTTCACATTTTCCAACTTTACACAATATGTTTCAGATGGCATAACTTGGCCTTTTCTTAAGACATTCATATCTATAACATATTCATTACTCAATCTTAGCCCTTAATTACTCATTTCATCATAATTTCCCACATAGGCTTAAGATTAACCATTTTCACTATACTTTCCACACAAACACACATATTTAGCCCCTAATTCATTTCACCACATATATAGACACACACACACACACACACACACAATTAGGCTAAGATTTTAGAAAATCACTACTCAAAACATGCATGCTACTTTATGGTAACTCATATACACAAAATTCATACTAGATTAGTTCATTACACAAACTTTAAGTTCACACAGCTTTAACAACTCTAAGCCAGCCCAGACTCTTTTCCCTTACCCTGATTACTGCTCTGTTCTATAAAAATGTAATAATGAGGGAGAGATAAAAATTTCAATAATGAAATAACTTACTCCTATTGACTATTACATGAAACTATATGAAAGTAAAGCGTAATATACCATTTAATAGAGCATGTCACATATTTCATTTCAAATATCAATCATATCAAACATTTCATCACTTTTACACTTGTTTCATCACTTTTCTCCACCTTTACAACACATAGCAACATATAGCATCACATAGTATAATCACTATTAATCG